AGCCATTACTGAGTTTAGTTTTCGGGTACGAAAATGAAATTATCATTATTCAAAAGATCCTATCTAGAAATCAGTGTTTCTTAAGTCGGGTAATTGGAATTGACTTTGTTGTGATGGTTTCCGTAGCTTAATAGTAAAACACGCTTGACTTGAATTCGATGTCTAGACCGATATACAGTAATTACACTGTTCTAACATCATTGATGTCTGCTTAAACGCTTATACCAACTACATATATCGTTTATAGCAACAAGAAGTACTTACTCATCAGAAATGTTGCACGCGACTACAATAATTAGCAGTAATGCGAATTAATACAGGTGATTTCTATCAGGTGTCATTACCACAGTTCACTATATATATATATATATATATATATATATATATATATATATATATATATATATATATATGCGTGTCTCTGTGTGTGTGTGTGTGTGCGAGTCTCTGTGTGTATAGAGAGAGAGAGAAAGGAAGAGAGAGTGAGATAGAGAAAGAGAAACAGATTTCGTTAAAATTAACCGACATGTCTTAATTTTTTATTTTACTAATTATCCAATAAGTGGTTGTACATCAAAAGCCTAATTCTAAATTAACTTTTTTTTCTAGTTTTTTTTTTTTTTTTTAAGCATTCCACCCCAAGCAAAGCTGGAAGCCACTAGCACGCAAAGGGTTTCAGAGTAGGGGCGTGAACAAAGAGAAGGGATAGAGGATAGGATGAAGAGACGGTTGCCCAAAATTCATGTCTTTGTTGTTTTGAGAGAGTATTTTTGAATTACGTTAATCATTATCTAATAATAAATTTTGTCAGTAAATATATATATATATATATATATATATATATATATATATATATATATATATATATATATATATGAATGAATATAATATATCGCTCATTGATTACTATTGCTAATAAAATAGTACTCAATAAATAAAAAAAATCCATTAATACTTTAATATATATGCATGTATGTGTACGTGGGGGGGGGGCGCTCGCGCATATGTCTGAGTGTGTAATATACCAAGCCACTCTAAAATTAGCAGATAACGAAGGAAAAATATACATAGGAGTAACTGAAGGACCCTGAAAACAGTGAAATTATACGCACAAACCATCCTTCATAAGCTTTGTCTGGAGGATAAAATAGTTATAATTACATTCCCAGACCAAAACAAATTATTATATAAATGAGTATAACTTATCTCAAAATTCAGACACTAAATCTAAATTTTACTATATTATTTAAAAATCGAAAGCTAAAAACAAATAACTTCTAAAATATAATTATGAAAAATGCATATATATGTATTATATACAACTCAGATAATGTAAAATCTGAACAAGGCCCACACGCTCAAATTCTCGGTCACAATGACTTGTGACTTGGTGCTAGCACAACCATCAACGGCTGCCAAAGAGTCCCGTCTCCCTAATTTCACTCGCAAGGATTGGATCAACCGGTGGTATGGTGTTCAGTTCCTTTCCAAAGGTGCCGCAAACTGAGATCGCCTCCTCGGGCCAATAACATCAAGAAGTCACCTTCCTAAGATTTGAACCCAGGTCTAATGGTTAGAAAGCGAACGTTCTAACCACTTGGTCACGTATATATAAAGCAATAATAAAAATAATAATAATAATACGCGTAAAAATAATTGATACATTCATTTTCTAGTGCTGTCAACTTCTGTAAAATCATTCTAGACATGGCATCACTTATACGATATACTTATATTTTGGATTTCGACAGCAATGAGAAATCACGTAACATAAACTTAAAATAATAAAGTGAATCTGGCTGTGATAGAAATAGAACTATTTCAATCATCTTTTATAAGGAAATCTTGCGTTTAAATATGCTGTTTAAATTTGCTCTGAAAATAGTTAAATGCATTGAAATTAGCGTTAAAGAAATCAAAACCGTGAAAGGATGAAAGTTGGAAGGAAAAAAGAAACAAGAAGCAAAAAGCAAAGGAGTAATGTCAGAAATGAAGCAAATAACTGAACAAGACAGACAGACAGACAGACAGACAGACAGATAGATAGATAGATAGATAGATAGATAGATAGATAGATAGATCATTTATGCAGAAGATACTTTGTTAAAGAAAGGAAAAAATCGGAAGGAAAACGGTAAGAGTTTATGAAAAGAAAAAAAAAACGCTGAAAAAAGAAAAAAAAACTCGTTGAAAAACGAAGAAAACAGTCATTAGTTTCCTGCCATACTCAGTAAAGCTTTAAAAAAATGGATACAAATAACGCCATGTAAAACATAACAACTAAAAGCTATCAGTATTTTGACGACATATGAAAACAGTACAACAATTTATAACCATAAATAAATTGCATTGTTCTCAATCAAATTCTTTTTCTTCACGTGACTTTCCGCTCTGGGAAATACTATTTTAAGTCCCAAAGTCAGAAAGAAAAAGAAAATTAACAGAATTAAAGAACCAAAAAGCAATATGTTTGATTCTTTCTGCAAAGAAAATTGGTTAGGCGCAAAATGGTTCTTAAACATTATGAAAAAATATTGATGGACATTCGACATGGAAAGTTTTTAATTAATAAATTAATCAAAATTTTCATAGAATTTAATTAGGATATCCTGTACGATTGGTCAATGAATGAATGAGTATGATTTTAATAAAAGTCGGAAACAAGTTTACAGTTGCAGTTTTTTTTAAAAGAATACATTGTATTTTTGCTTCACGTGCTTCTTTCTTTCTTTTTTCTATTACTTCTATTTCATTTATTCATTCCTTTTCTCTTTTCTATTCTATCTCTCTTCCCTTCTTTGTTCGTTGATTATAAAAATGTTCCTTTTTTTTCTTTATCCTTAATATAAGCGTTTCTTTTACTTTCATGATATAATAACGATTCCATGAATGATTTGACTGTAGACGTCTTCTTTTACGAACCATGTCTATGTTGTGAAAAGCCATGATCAAGTTTGTGATCATGGATTTTCATAACAGCAGATCTTTTGTTCTTCTCAGTAAAGTTTAAGTCCTTAAAGACTTAAAAATTAAACTTTAACATCCCTTATTGTCATTGTAGTGATATTCATTCACTGTTTACCCCCCAAATCCGCTTCTCTTGCCTGTGCATGTTAGATTCTCTATGCCTTCTTTCCTCATTATGTGTGCCGAAAATAACAACTGGCTGTAAATTCTTTGAGTTCATGCTTTCTTTACAACTTCCTCGTTGCTGACATATTCAGTTCTTAATATCTGTCTATATTTTTGAGATGAGACATTGTAATTATTTACATAATTTACATTGTTCGAACTGTTGTCCTCATCTTCGTTGCCATAACACGACGTTTTGGCCCTCGTACACTCCAGCCTTCTTCAGGTGATTGGAATTTCGAATTGAATCCTTTATTTCGTCCACCAGGGTAGATTGTTCTAGTTCCACGTATCATACCTCTTCCGGATATCTCAGTATCAGTTATCTCCCTTTAACTTAAATTTCCAGGTTTTGTTCACCTCTGCTTTATCCAGATACTGTTTGGGTCAAGACATTGGATTCAACCAATGTTTTTATCCACTGGGACTTGAGGACATCAGTGTATTAATTTTGGGGACTTATAAACCTAATGTCTCAGTATCATTTTTTTACCAGAGCTCATACCACAATTTTGTTGTTCTCATTGTTTTTCTCTAGCAGTCCGTATTACTGTATTCCTTTCTATGGCAATCTTAAGAGGATATTTTTGCGGCCAAGCATAGAAATGAATACAATATGGGAACTAGTGTAAATAATCAGTTCTTAATGTTCCCAGCATCTGTCGAGAGAACAACATATCTATTGCATCAAGTCTCTTCTTCATCTTTGAAGAAACTATCTGACATTCACTGTCATATAGTAGATTAGATATTACAGTACAGTACAATTTCCTATCGCCTAATTATTTGCTTAGTTTCTGGAAGGCATCTTTCACAGTTTCTATGCGGTTTCAGATTTCTGTGTTATCTTTTCCGTCATCTGTTATTACAAAACTCTGTTAATTTTTTTTACCTGTTTGATTTGAACATCTATGCAATGTTTATGGCAAAAACCGTATTTTTCTATTATGTCTTTGTTATTCACTAACTGTTTTTTCTTAAGTAAATGTAAAAAAATGAATGAATAAAACATTTAGCGGCATATATATTTTTCCAAACCATATTTTTTGGAAGAATCTATGTTGTAAAACGTTTTGAATCTCTAGTCAAACATATTATGTAATGGTAGGTGTTTGAAGATTTTTATTGTGTATTATTAATTTTTCCCACCATTTCAAGTGCGCATCTTGTCAAAGGAAAGCATTAGGGGAACCTAAAATCTTACCTATAGATTTTTATTTAAGGGCATCTGGTTGTACAAATCTGCGTAAATTGAACTCTAGCCTCTGATCAGTTGGTCGATGAGGCGTGGGTTGCAGATCAGTAGGTATTAGCAGCGCAAATAAGGTTCAGAATTTGTTCAATATGATACCTGTAATTTCTTCTGTATTCATTTCCTTGTATCCAAAACTCTAAACGATCACCATTTCCGAAATTTCAATTTATATCCTATCGTTAAACCGATTCAAGTCGTACCAGCAGTTGACGTATCGGTGATAGAAAGATTCGCTTCCTACTTTTATCAATTATTGAATTTAATTTTCTTGCCTTATCTTTTCTTTATTTTTTGCTTATTGACTTTTTCACTTTTATCTTCTTTTGTTTTTTTTTGTGTTTTTTTTTCTTTGCCCTATACATTTGCTCTCGTCAAAATTTCTCGAGTGTCTAGAGACCAAACATTGGTGTAAAAATTCGAATCGATGGCGACAGTCGGAAAAATTGATCGAATTATTTTTCTTTACATTTTCATCTCTACAATCGCTTCTTACCCTTCTTTTAGTTTTTCATTTATTTATTCATCTTTTTATTTCTTCGTTGGATTATTATTATTATTATCATTACTATTATTATTATTATTATTATTGCTACATTGATACTTTTTTTCTTTAATGCTTTTCTTCTTTGTCATCAAATCTTCCATTTCCTTTTTTTTCTCTTCTGTTTTCCCGCCTTGTTGCTTCCTTTGTTACTTTTCCTTCTTTATATATTCATTCTTTTCTTTGTGTCTTTCTGGCTTCTTTCATCTTTTTCTTTTTCTCTTCCTTTTCTTTTTGTTTCACTCTCTCTCTCTCTCTCTCCCTCTCTTTCGACGTTCTCTTTCTACTATCCTCTTTTGTTTCTTTCTCCTCTTCTCTTCCTTCTTTCTTTTTTTAAATTTTACCGTTATTCTGAACCCTTTCTATTTTTTCTCCTTTAATGCATTCAACTAACTTCTATATATAAATAAATATATTTCTCTCTCTCTCTCTCTCTCTCTCTCTCTGTATGTATATATATATATATATATATATATATATATATATATGTGTGTGTGTGTGTGTGTTTCCTTCTACTTTTTATTCAACTCTTTGGAGATTCTATATTATTTCTTTTTACATTATTTCGACCCATCGAAAACTCGACTGTTTTTTTAATTACCTGCTTGGCTGACCAAAGGTCTTCACTTCTGTCAGCTTTTCTAGACTCTTTCCCAAAAGACACGTCTTAGGATGATCGTCGCTGCCTTCAAAGATTCTCTGACATCAATAATTATACTGATGTAGATTTAGAGGAACATTGTGACAACGCCAAAATCAATCTTTTTGCTTTCTTTAATTTTAACTTCTATTTTGTTGTTGCTATCCGGCTTTTACGATTTTTTCTTACTTGTTTACAAGTTGAAACATTTTCATAGTCCCGTTTTTAGATAAGTAACAGATGAAGACGACAGCATACTTGGCTTTATCATGACAAGCCGTACTTCAATGTTTGACGCTGATTTTAATGGCACGGTTATACATTCACAAAATTCATTTGCTTAATCCTAAAATATTTTTACATCATTTACAACCGAAATATAAATCACTGCTAAATTTACATTGATATAATATATATATATATATATATATATATATATATATATATATATATATATATATATATATATATATATAGAACTCAACACCAAGCAGCGACACAGTCTGTTTCATGCTTCAATGCAATCTTTTGGTGTTGACCTTAGTGTCCACTTTTATATTTACTTATGCTCTATCCCTGATATTGAGCACTTTTATCCATATATATAGCACACCTTAAAACTATATTTTGATCATATATATATATATATATATATATATAATATTAATACAAATAAAATTTGTCAATTAGCTAATTGATGCTATGTTTACACCTCAAATCCAGAGTTTCGTAGACGAATAGTAATTTGTAATTGTTCTGTCCACTCGTCAGGAGATTTCAGTAGTTGATGTTTTTCATTTTCGTTATCTCTATACTAAGCTTGATGTAATTAATATATGCGCTAGTTATTTGTGTTAGGTTGATTAGTCCATCTTTCTGTGTGTGTGTGTGTGTGTGTGTGTGTGTGTGTGTGTGTGTGTGTGTGTGTGTGCGTTTTTGTGCATGTGCATATCTGATTTAAATAGAAAGGCGCTTAAAAATAAATTACTTTATTGCAAAGACTGCTTCCATGAAATGCCCTTCTTTTAGAATTCCACTAACTGACAGGACTTCTATCTTTGTTATCGCTATATGTTTTTTTTAACTAATGTTCACCTAATACAAGCCACAAGGGCCACTCAAGGTGGAGGATTACTGTGTGGAGTTGTATTAGCGCAAGAAAAGGCAAGAAGTAAACTTATTGGGCTCATACAAGAACGATAACAGCTAACTCTAGACATGAAGAGGTCAAGATTTAACTAGTGATTAAATTTCAGAGTTCAGGCCGAGACGTTAGAAATAGAGAGTTGAAGTAGAATTTCGAAGGAACTAGAAACCCAATACTAAACAGGAGACAAAGGATATACCTGTACTCATGTTCAAAGGAATGGGGAGGAGTGTGAACCGGACGATAGGCGAATCTATCTACTCCAATTGTGAGAGGAAAAATAATCGTAATTACTGAATAAAAATTTAGGAATCGGAAACCAAATCCTAAACGGGAAACAAGGGATAAACCTCCACACTTCTTAAAAAGAAAACTGAGAATGAGTATGAACCGGATTATATATATATATATATCTGTGTGTGTGTGTGTGTGTGTGTGTGCGCGCGCGTACTTATTAAAAGCGCTCAATATCAGAGATAGAGCTAACATATTTGAGTGTCTGGCGATCGCTAAAGCGTGAAACCCAGGGTCACAAACTCACATCAATCCAAATAAATATATATATATATATATATATATAGATGAAATATATATATATATATATATATATATATATATATATATATATATATATATATATATATATATATATATATATATATATATATATATATATATGTATGTATATATATATAAATATATATATATATGCAATTTCTAATATTCAACTAAGTATCTATCTATCTATATATATATATATATATATATATATATATATATATATATATATATATATATATATGCCGCTCCATTCTTTGTGAAAATATATATATGTTTGGCCAAGCGTAAAAAGTAATTTAAGTGAGCATGATAACTGCCCACATATAAAACTATATATAAAAACTTATTGTTATTTACTAATCGTTTTCTCGCATAACCCAAGACTCAATTACTGAAGATAGACTGTCACGGTTGAAACAGTAAATGGTAAATGTGGTTTTTAATATGAATTGAAGAGGAAGTGATCGGAAGTAGATATTATAAAGATAAAGAGGAAAGATAACGGATGACTCTTTACTTGAAGAGGTCAAGGTTCAAGTGTTCATGAAATTAACCACGCGGGAGTCAGCCAAAGTGTCAGTTTATGGTGAAAAGCTCTAAGTCTAACATTCTTCTTACATTTAGAACACGGAGGAAAGTAAGATGGATTCTACTCTGGGGAAGGGGTATGGTGTTTCTTAGATGTCAAGGTCTGTACTTGTGTTAATGAAGAACGACTTACCTGTGAATATTTGCTATGGAAATAGCGAGATATTAGAAAACAAGTCTTAGGAAGATTATGTTGTATCAAGGTGGAAAGAGTTAATCTAGCTCAAAATTCTGCATTTGAAAACTCAGCTTAAATCTCAGCTCAAACGCCGACCAATGGAAAACAAACCAGAATCTCAACCACCCAAATATTCTTGTTATTGACCAAGCTTATCTTTGGCTGTTAGAGGATCAAAAGGAGAGAAATGAGATAGGACGATTGTGCAGCGTCAATATTTTAGTAACAAAGTTCTGTCTGTTTATCTTGAAAAGTGGCACCACAAGAAAGAATAAACTGATACGAGAGGAACAGTGGAATAAGTCTATCTTACCCCAACAGTCTGTAAAGGTTCGCTTCTAAATTCAACATACATCTTGGAAATACTATGTTTTTAACGACCAAGTTAAGAACAGTATTTGATTATATTTTATAATATATTTGGGAAATGTCAGACAAAGGTTTTTATAGAAGTATCATTTCCTAACTTAAGATTGGTAAATACGTGGTACAGTGGTTCGCGCGCTGCTCTTGCAGACGATTTTACTAGTGAGCGAGTTCAATAACCACTGGAAACCCCGTTATTGTCGTCATGTACCAAGACAAGGCTAAGCAAACTAAGTGACTGTTTTGGTTGCTGCAACATGAAACTAAAATAATTACAATAACTATTTTCTCGCAGCGAAAATATTGCACTTTCGTTCGATATTCGCTTTGTTTTTTTTAACGTTGTTCGGGCGAATATTATTAGTCAAAGGAATGCTAGTGTTTCTATAGTTGAAATTACAGTAGTTACAGTTGGTAGCGTGAAAGTGTTAGGAATAGTAGTCATAGTAGTTTAGAGTCTCTATTGTAGTTTCAGTAATTTGTAACGCCATTCGCTTTGGTGTGAGATTTTTGCAAGTCTCTTGAGTATTGACAATGCAATCAATATTCACAAAGATTCTTGCTACAGTTCTCCTTCCTTCGTGACCTCTTCCTTCCTACTTTCCTTCTGTCCTTCCCACTTTCCTTGTATCATTTCTACATTCCTTCTTTCCATCCTACTTTCTTCTCTCCTTCCTACTCTCCTTCTATCCCTCTTGCTTTTCTTCTTTCCCTCCTGATTAACATCTGTCCTTCCTATTTTCATTCTTTCCAACCTACTTTCGTATATCCTTCCTACTTTACTGCTATCGTTTCTAATTTACGCCTTTTCTTCTTTCATTCCATTTTTCCTTCTTTCAATGCTATTTTCATTCTTTACTTCCTACATTCCTTCTCTCATTTCTACTTTCCTTCTATAATTTCTCCTTTCTTCCTTTCCTTCCCACTTGCCTTCTTTCCTGAATGTTTTCCTTTTTCCTGAATGTTTTCCTTCTTTCCTGAATGTTTTCCTTCTTTCCATCCGGCTTTACTTCTGTCAGTCCGACTTCCATTCTTTCTTTCCTATTTTACTATTTCTTTTCTACTTTCCTTCTAACGTTTCTACATTCCTTGTTTCCTTCCTACTTTCTTTCCATCCTTCATATTTTCATTCTCCCCTTCCATCTCTCCTTCTTTCCATCCTACTTGCTTCTATCCTTCCTGCATTCCTATTTTACCCGCAACTTTCCTAACGGTCCTTTCTACTTTCATTCGCTCCTTCCATCTCTCCTTCTTTCCATCCTACTCGCTTCTATCCTTCCTGCATTCCTATTTTACTTGCCACTTTCCTTCTGTCCTTTTTACTTTCATTCGCTCCTTCCATCTCTCCTTCTTTCCATCCTACTTGCTTCTATCCTTCCTGCATTCCTATTTTACTTGCCACTTTCCTTATGTCCTTTCTATTTTCATTCGCTCCTTCCATCTCTCCTTCTTTCCATCCTACTTGCTTCTATCCTTCCTGCATTCCTATTTTACCCGCAACTTTCTTTCTGTCCTTTCTACTTTCATTCGCTCCTTCCATCTCTCCTTCTTTCCATCCTACTTGCTTCTATCCTTCCTGCATTCCTATTTTACTTGCCACTTTCCTTCTGTCCTTTCTACTTTCATTCAACCTTCCATCTCTCCTTCTTTCCATCCTGCTTCTATCCTTCCTGCATTCCTATTTTACTTGCCACTTTCCTTCTGTACTTTCTACTTTCATTCGCTCCTTCCATCTCTCCTTCTTTCCATCCTACTTGCTTCTATCCTTCCTGCATTCCTATTTTACTTGCCACTTTCCTTCTGTCCTTTCTACTTTCATTCAACCTTCCATCTCTCCTTCTTTACATCCTACTTGCTTCTATGCTTCCTGCATTCCTATTTTACCCGCAAATTTCCTTCTGTCCTTTCTACTTTCATTCGCTCCTTCCATCTCTCCTTCTTTCCATCCTACTTGCTTCTATCCTTCCTGCATTCCTATTTTACTTGCCACTTTCCTTCTGTCCTTTTTACTTTCATTCGCTCCTTCCATCTCTCCTTCTTTCCATCCTACTTGCTTCTATCCTTCCTGCATTCCCATTTTTGTGCTTTCCACTTTCCTTCTGTCCTTTTTTCCATCCTATTTCATTCGCTTACCTTCCATCTCTCCTTCTTTCCATCCTTCTTTCCATCCTACTTGCTTCTATCCTTCCTGCATTCCTATTTTACTTGCCACTTACCTTCTGTCCTTTCTATTTTCATTCGCTCCTTCCATCTCTCCTTCTTTCCATCCTACTTGCTTCTATCCTTCCTGCATTCCTATTTTACTTGCCACTTTCCTTCTGTCCTTTCTACTTTCATTCGCTCCTTCCATCTCTCCTTCTTTCCATCCTACTTGCTTCTATCCTTCCTGCATTCCTGCATTCCTATTTTCATTCCTTTCACTTTCCTTCTGTCCTTTTTTATTTCCTTCTTTCCTTCCTATTGCTTCTATCCTTCTTTCCATCCTATTTTACCCCCACTTTCCTTCTGTCCTTTCTGTTTTCCTTCCATTCTCCTTCTTTCCATCCTTCCTTCTGTCCTTTCTATTTTCATTCGCTCCTTCCATCTCCTTCCATCTCTCCTTCTTTCCCTATTTACTTACCACTTTCCTGTCCTTTTTATCCTCCTTCTCCTTCTTTACATCCTATCTATCCTTCCTGCATTCCTATTTTACTTGCCACTTTCCTTTCTGTCCTTTCTATTTTCATTCCTCCTTCCATCTCTCCTTCCATCCTACTTTAGCTTCCTTCCTGCATTCCTATTTTACCCTTTCTTTCTGTCCTTTCTACTTTCATTCGCTCCTTCCATCTCTCCTTCTTTCCATCCTTGCTTCTATCCTTCCTGCATTCCTATTTTACTTGTCTGTCCTTTCTACTTTCATTCGCTCCTTCCATCTCTCCTTCTTTCCATCCTACTTGCTTCTATCCTTCCTGCATTCCTATTTTACTTGTCACTTTCCTTCTGTCCTTTCTACTTTCATTCGCTCCTTCCATCTCTCCTTCTTTCCATCCTACTTGCTTCTATCCTTCCTGCATTCCTATTTTACTTGCCACTTACCTTCTGTCCTTTCTATTTTCATTCGCTCCTTCCATCTCTCCTTCTTTCCATCCTACTTGCTTCTATCCTTCCTTTCCTATTTTTTTCCTTCTGTCCTTTCTATTTTCATTTCATCTCCCCTGTTTCCATTTCCTTCCTGTCCTTTTCTTGCCACTTTCATTCTGTCCTTTCCTTCATCTCTCCTTCTCTCTCCTTCTTTCCATCTTACTTCTATCCTTCCTGCATTCCTATTTTACCTGCCACTTTCCTTCTGTCCTTTCTACTTTCATTCGCTCCTTCCATCTCTCCCTTATTCCATCCTGCTTGTCCTTTCTACTTCCTATTTTACTTGCCACCTTCCTTCTGTCCTTTCTTTTCATTCCTCCTTCCATCTCTCCTTCTTTCCATCCTACTTCTATCCTCCTTCCTGCATTCTATTTACTTTGCCACTTTCCTTCTGTCCTTTCTACTTTCATTCTCTCCTTCCATCTCTCCTTCTTTCCATCCTACTTGCTTCTATCCTTCCTGCATTCCTATTTTACTTGCCACTTTCCTTCTGTCCTTTCTACTTTCATTCGCTCCTTCCATCTCTCCTTCTTTCCATCCTACTTGCTTCTATCCTTCCTGCATTCCTATTTTTGCCCTTTACCTTCTGTCCTTTCTACTTTCATTCCTCCTTCATCTCTCCTTCTTTCCATCCTACTTGCTTCTATCCTTCCTGCATTCCTATTTTACTTGCCACTTTCCTTCTGTCCTTTCTACTTTCATTCGCTCCTTCCATCTCTCCTTCTTTCCATCCTACTTGCTTCTATCCTTCCTGCATTCCTATTTTACTTGCCACTTTCCTTCTGTCCTTTCTACTTTCATTCGCTCCTTCCATCTCTCCTTCTTTCCATCCTACTTGCTTCTATCCTTCCTTGCATTCCCTTTTTTTCTTCTCCCATCTTTCCTTCTGTCCTTTCTACTTTCATTCTCTCCTTCCATCTCTCCTTCTTTCCATCCTCCTTCTTTCCACTTGCTTCTATCCTTCCTGCATTCCTATTTTACTTGCACTTTCCTTCTGTCCTTTCTACTTTCATTCGTCCTTTCTCTCCTTCTTTCATCCCTACTTGCTTCTCCTTCCATTTCTCTTACTTTTCCTTCTGTCCATTCCTTTCATTTGCTCCTTCATCCTTTTTCCATCCTACTTTCTTCTATCAGTCCTGCATTCCCTATTTTACTTGCCACTTTCCTTCTGTCCTTTCTACTTTCATTCGCTCCTTCCATCTCTCCTTCTTTCCATCCTACTTGCTTCTATCCTTCCTGCATTCCTATTTTACTTGCCACTTTCCTTCTGTCCTTTCTACTTTCATTCGCTCCTTCCATCTCTCCTTCTTTCCATCCTACTTGCTTCTATCCTTCCTGCATTCCTATTTTGCCACTTTCTTGTCCTTTCTTTCCTTCTGTCCTTTTTCTACTTTCATTCCTGCATCCTTCCATCTCCTTCCTTCTTTCCATCCTCCTTCATCTATCCTTCCCATCCATTCCTATTTTATTATTGCCACTTTCCTTCTGTCCTTTCTACTTTCATTCGCTCCTTCCATCTCTCCTTCTTTCCATCCTTTTGCTTCTATCCTTCCTGCATTCCTATTTTACCTATTTTTCTATTTTCCTTCTGTCCTTTCTAATTTCATTCGCTCCTTCCATCTCTCCTTCTTTCCATCCTACTTGCTTCTATCCTTCCTGCATTCCTATTTTACTTGCCACTTACCTTCTGTCCTTTCTACTTTCATTCGCTCCTTCCATCTCTCCATCCTCTTTTCATCCTTCCTGAATTTATTTTACTTGCCGCTTCTATCCTTCCTACTTTCATTCCTATTTTTCCATCCCTACTTGCTTCATTTCCTTTTTACTGTCCCTTTCTACTTTCATTCGCTCCTTCCATCTCTCCTTCTTTTTCCATCCTACTTGCTTCTATCCTTCCTGCATTCCTATTTTACTTGCCACTTTCCTTCTGTCCTTTCTATTTTCATTCTCTCCTTCCATCTCTCCTTCTTTCCATCCTGCTTGCTTCTATCCTTCCTGCATTCCTATTTTACTTGCCACTTTCCTTATGTCCTTCTGTTTCCTTCCTTCCATCTCCCTTCTTTCCATCCCTCTTGCTTCTATCCTTCCTGCATTCCTTTTTACCCTGCCACTTCCTTCTCCTTCTTTCATTTCCTCCTTCCATCTCTCCTTCCTTCCATCCTACTTGCTTCTATCCTTCCTGCATTCTATTTTACTTACTTTTCCTTCTGTCCTTTCTATTTTCATTCGCTCCTTCCATCTCTCCTTCTTTCCATCCTACTTGCTTCTATCCTTCCTGCATTCCTATTTTACTTACAACTTCCTTCTGTCCTTTCTACTTTCATTCGCTCCTTCCATCTCTCCTTCTTTCCATCCTACTTGCTTCTATCCTTCCTGCATTCCTATTTTACTTGCCCTTTCCTTCTGTCCTTTCTATTTTCATTCGCTCCTTCCATCTCTCCTTCTTTCCATCCTACTTGCTTCTATCCTTCCTGCATTCCTATTTTACCCGCCACTTTCTTTCTGTCCTTTCTACTTTCATTCGCTTCCATCTCTCCTTCTTTCCATCCTTCTTTCCTTCCTGCATTCCTATTTTACCCCTACTTTCCTTCCTGTTTTCTACTTTCATTCACACCTTCCATCTCCTTCTTTCCATCCTTTCTTCTATCCTTCCTGCATTCCTATTTTTACTTCCACTTTCCTTCTGTCCTTTCTACTTTCATTCGTTCCTTCCATCTCTCCTTCTTTCCCTGCATTCCTGCTTCTATCCTTCCTGCATTCCTTTTTTTTTTTCTACCACTTTCCTTTACTAACCTTCCTTTCTACTTTCATTCGCTCCTTCCATCTCTCCTTCTTTCCATCCTACTTGCTTCTATCCTTCCTGCATTCCTATTTTACTTGCCACTTTCCTTCTGTCCTTTCTACATTCATTCCTCCTTCCATCCTCCTTCTCCATCCTGCCTTCTATCCTTCCTGCATTCCCTATTTTCCATCCTGCCACTTTCCTTCTGTCCTTTCTCCTTTCATTCGCTCCTTCCATCTCTCCTTCTTTCCATCCTACTTGTTCTATCCTTCCTTCTGTTTCTATTTTATTCACTTTCCTTCTCTCCTTTCTACTTTCATTCCGCTCCCTTCCATCTCTCCTTCTTTTCCATCCTACTTGCTTCTATCCTTCCTGCATTCCTATTTTGCCCACCACTTTCCTTCTGTCCTTTCTACTTTCATTCGCTCCTTCCATCTCTCCTTCTTTCCATCCTATTTGCTTCTATCCTTCCTGCTCCTTCCTATTTTTCCATCCACTTTCCTTCTGTCCTTTTTACTTTCATTCGCTCCTTCCATCTCTCCTTCTTTCCATCCTACTTGCTTCTATCCTTCCTGCATTCCTATTTTACTTGCCACTTTCCTTCTGTCCTTTCTACTTTCATTCTCTCCTTCCATCTCTCCTTCTTTCCATCCTACTTGCTTCTATCCTTCCTGCATTCCTATTTTACTTGCCACTTACCTTCTGTCCTTTCTACTTTCATTCGCTCCTTCCATCTCTCCTTCTTTCCATCCTACTTGCTTCTATCCTTCCTGCATTCCTATTTTTTACTTTCATTCGCTTTCCTTCTGTCCTTTCTACTTTCATTCGCTCCTTCCCTATCTCTCCTTCTTTCCCATCCTGCCATCCTACTTCTATCCTTCCTGCATTCTATTTTACACGCAACTTTCCTTCTGTCCTTTCTACTTTCATTCGCTCCTTCCATCTCTCCTTCTTTCCATCCTACTTGCCTTCTATCCTTCCCTGCATTCCTATTTTACCCTTGCTTTCCTTCTGTCCTTTCTGCTTTCATTCGCTCCTTCATCTCTCCTTCTTTCCATCCTCTTGCTTCTATCCTTCCTGCATTCCTATTTTACCCCTTTCCTTCAGTCCTTTCTATTTTCATTTCGCTTCCTTCCCTTCTTTCCTTCTTTATCCATTCCTATTTGCTTCTATCCTTCCTGCATTTTCTCATTTCCTTCCACTCTCTTCCATCCCTCCTTCCATCTCCATCCTTTTGCCCACTATCCTTCCTGCATTCCTATTTTATTTCCACTTTCATCCTTCTTTCTTTTCATTCCTTCCCTTCATTTCCTTCTTTCATCCTTCTTGCTTTCTATCCTTCGCTCCATTCCTATTTTACTTACCTTTCCTTCTGTCCTTTCTACTTTCTATTTTACTCCCTTCCATCTCTCCTTCTTTCCATCCTACTCCTTCTTTCCTACTCTTTCCTATTCTATTTCCACTTTTCCTTCTCATTCCTTTCCTTTCTTTCCCTTTCCTTCCATCTCTCTTCTTTCCATCCCTGCCTTCTATCCTTCCTGCATTCCTATTTTACTTACCACTTACCTTTCTGTTTCTACATTCATTCGCTCCTTCCATCTCTCCTTCTTTCCATCCTACTTCTTCCTTCCTTCCTTCCTATTCCTATTTTTACTTCTACTTCTTCTGTACTTTCTACTTTCATTCGCTCCTTCCATCTCTCTTCTTTCCATCCTACTTGCTTATATCCTTCCTGCATTCCTATTTTACTTTGCCCATACCTTCTGTCCTTTCTACTTTCATTCGCTCCTTCCATCTCTCCTTCTTATCATCCTACTTCTTCTTCTATCCTTCCTGCATTCCTATTTTACTTGCCACTTTCCTTCTGTCCTTTCTTTTCATTCGCTCCTTCCATCTCTCCTTCTTTCCATCCTTATATCCTTCCACAATTCCTATTTTACTTGCCCTTTCCCTTCTGTCCCTTTCTACTTTCATTCTCTCCTTCCATCTCTCCTTCTTTCCATCCCTACTTACTTCTCCTTCCTGCATTCCCTATTTTACCCTTACTTTCCTTCTGTCCTTTCTTTTCATTCCCTCCTTCCATCTCCTTCTTTGCATCCTACCTTCTATCCTTCCTGCATTCTATTTTACTTGCCACTTTCCTTCTGTCCTTTCTATTTTCATTCTCCTTCCATCTTTCTTCTTTCATTTCTAATCTATGCTTTGCCCTTGTCCTTTCCTTCCATCTTTCCTTCTTTCTTTCTTTTTCTTTCTTTCTTTCTTTCTTTCTTCATGTCATGGACATCTCTTTTCATTCCTTCTTGCTTTTCCTTGTTTCATTGACTTATTGGACCTTACATTCTTTCTCCTTTCATTTCTAATCTATGCCTTACTACACAGTTGTCCTTTCACAGTTTTCATTTTTCTTTCTTTCTTTCTCTTTCATTTCTTTTCCTTTTCCTTTTTCTTGACTGTTCTTTCTGTTTCATTTCAATCTATGCTTTCATTCCTTCTTTCTTTTCTTTGTTTCATTCTCTTTCTTTCTTTCTTTTCTTCTGACATCTCTTTTCATTCTTTCCTTGTTTCATTCCCTTTCCTTCTTTTTCTAATTTCTTTGCCCTTACTACACATTTGTCCTTTCTTTCTTTCTTTTCTTTCTTTTCTTTCTTCATGTCATTTCTTTCTTTTCTTTTTCTTTCCTTTCTTCATTCATATCATCTTCTTTCATTCCTTCTTTACTTAGTTGTCTTTCCTTGTTTCATTGACTTATTTTCTTTTTTCTTCATGTCATTCTCTTTCCTTCTGTCATTTCTAATTTTTCATTCCCTTTGGACCTTCCACAGTTTCTCCTTTCTTTCTTTCTTTCCCTTTCTTTCTTTTCTTTTTGCTTCTTTCTTTCTTTCTTTTCTTTTCTTCATGTCATGGACATCTCTTTCATTCCTTCTTGCTTACTTTCCTTGTTTCATTGACTTATTGGACCTTACATTCTTTCTACTTTCATTTCTAATCTATGCCCTTACTACACAGTTGTCCTTTCTTTTCTTTCTTTCTTTCTTTCTTTCTTTCTTTCTTTCTTTCTTTCTTTCTTTCATGTCATGGACATCTCTTTCATTCCTTCTTGCTTACTTTCCTTGTTTCATTGACTTATTGGACCTTACATTCTTTCTACTTTCATTTCTAATCTATGCCTTACTACACAGTTGTCCTTTCTTTCTTTCTTTCTTTCTTTCTTTTTCTTTCTTTCTTTCTTTCTTTCTTTTTACTTTTTTCTTTCTTCATGTCATGGACATCTCTTTCATTCCTTCTTGCTTTTTCCTTGTTTCATTGACATATTGGACCTTACATTCTTTCTACTTTCATTTCTAATCTATGCCCTTACTACACAGTTGTCCTTTCTTTCTTTCTTTCTTTCTTTCTTTCTTTCTTTCTTTCTTTCTTTCTTTCTTCATGTCATGGACATCTCTTTCATTCCTTCTTGCTTACTTTCCTTGTTTCATTGACTTATTGGACCTAACATTCTTTCTACTTTCATTTCTAATCTATGCCCTTACTACACAGTTGTCCTTTCTTTCTTTCTTTCTTTCTTTCTTTCTTTCTTTTTTTTTCTTTCTTTCATTCTTTCTTCATGTCATGGACATCTCTTTCATTCCTTCTTGCTTACTTTCCTTGTTTCATTGACTTATTGGACCTTACATTCTTTCTACTTTCATTTCTAATCTATGCCCTTACTACACAGTTGTCCTTTCTTTTTTTTTTCTTTCTTTCTTTCTTTCTTTCTTTCTTTCTTTTCTTTCTTCATGTCATGGACATCTCTTTCATTCCTTCTTGCTTACTTTCCTTGTTTCATTGACATATTGGACCTTACATTCTTTCTACTTTCATTTCTAATCTATGCCCTTACTACACAGTTGTTTCTTTCTTTCTTTTTTCTTTCTTTCTTTCTTTCTTTCTTTCTTTCTTTCTTCATGTCATGGACATCTCTTTCATTCCTTCTTGCTTACTTTCCTTGTTTCATTGACTTATTGGACCTTACATTCTTTCTACTTTCATTTCTAATCTATGCCCTTACTACACATTGTCCTTTCTTTCTTTCTTTCTTTCTTTTTCTTTCTTTCTTTCTTTCTTTCTTTCTTTCTTCTTTCTTTCTTCATGTCATGGACATCTCTTTCATTCCTTCTTGCTTACTTTCCTTGTTTCATTGACTTATTGGACCTTACATTCTTTCTACTTTCATTTCTAATCTATAAACCTTACTTTTTCCTTTCTTTCTTTCTTTCTTTCTTTCTTTCTTTCTTTCTTTTCTTCATTTCATGGTTACATCTCATTCATTCCTTCTTTTCTTTCAATTTTTACCCTCCTTCCGAAAAAATCATATTGAATCTTTTGAGCATTTTTTTTTTCTTTTTTTGAATCTAAACCTTACCTTTCTAAAACGTCCTTTCTTTCTTTCTTTCTTTCTTTGGCGGGAATACTTTCTTTTTTTGTCTATGGAAGTTCTTTCTTTCTTCCTTTTCTTTTTGACAATTTCTTTCATTCCTTCTTTACTTTCTTTTCCTTGTTTCTTTTCTTTATTTCCTTAACGAGGAAGAGGTCTTTTTAACAAAATTCTTTCTTTCTCTCTGAAAGGCTTCCTTTTGAACAACATGTCCTTTTTCCTTTTTTTTTTTCTTTTTTTTTTCTTTCTTTCTTTTCTTTTTAATCATTTCTTTTCTCCCTTTATTCCTATTCTCTCTCTTCCTTTCTTACTTTCTTTTCCTTTTTTCTTCCTTTCTTTCTCTCTTCTTTCTTTCTTTTCTTTCTTTCTTTCTTTCTTTTATTCCTTCTCATTCTTTTTTTCTTCATTTCTTTCCTTCTCTTTCTCCTTCTTTCTTTCTTTCTTTTTCATTGACTTCTCTTTCCTTTTTCTCTTCTTTCCTTTTCTCTCTTTTTTTTCTTTTTCATTCTTTCCTTCATTCTCTTTCTTTTCTTACTTTTATTTTCTTTCTTTCTTTCTTTTTCCTTTTATTCCTTCTCTTTCTTTCTACTTTTTTCCTTTTATTCATTCTCTTTTCTTTCTTTTTTTCTTTCTTTCCTTGAGCTTTCTTTTTTTTCTTTCCTTCCTTTTTTTCTTTCTCTTTCTTTTCTTTTTCTTTGTATTCATTCCTTTTCTTTTTCTTCCTTTTATTCTTTCTTCTCTTTCGTTCCTTCTTTCCTTTCTTCCTTTCCTTCTCTTTTCTTTTTCTCTTTTTTCCCAAAAACTTTTTCTCTATTTCTTTTTTTTCTTTCTCTCTCTTTCTTTTTTATTCCTTTCTCAAAGGCTTTCTTTCCCTCTTTTCTTTCTTTCTTTTTTTTTTCTTTTCTTTTTTTTTTCTCTTTCTTTCTTTTTCTTCCTTTTATTCTTCTCTTTCTCCTTTTTTCCTTTTTCTTCCTTTCTTCCTCTTTATCTTTTTCCTTTTTAAACTTCCTTTCTTCTTTTCTCTCTCTCTTTCTTTTATTTTTCTTTTCTCTTTTTCCTTTCTTTCTTTTCTTTTATCTCATTTTTTTTTCTTTCTTTTTCTCTTTCTTTTCTCCTTTCTTCTTTTTATTCTTTCTCTTCCTCTCTCTTTTTTCTTTCTCTTTCTTCTTTCCTTTTCTTCCTTCTCACTTTAGTCTTTCCTTCTTTCTTCTTTTCTCTTTTCCTTCTCTCTCTTTTTTTCTTCCTTTTTCCTTTCTCTTTCTTTCTTCCTTTTATTCCTTCTCTTTTCTCCTTTCTTTTTTTTTTTCCTTCTCTTTCTTTCTTTTTTCTTTCTTTTTCTTCCTTTTTCCTTTTATCTTTCTTTTCCTTTTTATTTCTTTCCTCCTTTTCTTTCTTCCTCTTTCTTTTTCCTTTTATTTCTTCTTCTCCTTTTTCCCTTTTTCTTTCTCTCTTTTTCTTTTTTTCCTTTCATTTTTTTTTTCTTTCCCTTTCTGCCTTCTCTTCTTTCTTTTCTTTCCTCTTTCCTTTTTCTCTTTTTTTCTTTCTCTTTCTTCCTTTTTTTCAATTCTTTCTTTTTTTCTTTCTTTTCCATTTTCTTTTCTCTCTTTTTCTTTTTATTCTCCTTTTCTTTCTCCTTTCATTCTTTTTTTCCTTTTCTTCTTCTTTTCTTTTCCTCATTTTTCTTTCTTTTCTTTCTTTCTTTCTTTCTCTTTCTTTTTTCTTTCTTTCTTTCTTTCCCCTTTCTTTTCTTTCTCCCTTCATTCTTTTTCCTTCTCTTTCTTTCTTTTCTTTCACTTTTTCTTTTCCTTTCTTTTCTTTTCTTTCTTTTTATTTCTTTCTTTCTCTTTCTTTTTTTCTTTCTCTTTTCTCCCTCCTTTTCTTTTTTTCATCTTTCTTCTTTTTCTTTTCTTTCTTTTTCTCTTTCTTTTTTTCTTTTTCTTTTTCTTCTCTTTCTTTTTCTTTTTCTTCTCTTCTCTTTCTTCTTTTTTTTCTCTTTTTCTTCTTTCTTTCTCTTTTCCTCTCTTTTCTTTTTTTCTTTTTCTTTTTTTTCTTCTTTTCTTTCTCTTTTTTCTCTTTCTCCTTCTTTTCTTTTTCTTTCTTCTTTCTCTTTCTTCTCTTTCACTTTTTTCTTTCTTTTCTTCTTCTTTTCCATCTCTTTCTTCTTTTTTTCTCTTCTTTTCTTTTTTTTTCTTTCTTTTCCTTTTCTTTCTCTTTTTCTCTTTCTTCTTTTTCTTTCCTCTTTTTCTTTCTTTTCTTTCTTTTCTTCTCTTTCTCTTTTCTTCTTTTCTTTTTTTCTTCTTTTCTTTCTCTTTTCTTCTCTTTCACTTTCTTCTTTTCTTTCTTGCTTCTTTTTTTCCTTTCTTCTTTTCTTTTTTCCTTTTCTTTCTCTTTCTTCTCTTTCCACTTTCTTCTTTTTTTCTTCTTTTTTCTTTCTCTTTCTCTTTTCTTTTTCTTTTTTTTCTTTTTTCCTTTCTTCTTTTCTTTCCTTTCTTCTTTTCTTTTCTTTTCTTCTTTTCCTTTCTTCTTTTTCTTTCTCTTTCTTTCTTTTCTTTCTCTTTCTTTTTTTTTTCTTCTTTTTTTTCTCTTTCTTCTTTTCTTTTTTTTTATTCTTTCTTTCTCTCTTTTCTCTTTCCACTTTTCTTTCTTCCTTTTCTCTTCTTTTTCACTTTCTTCTTTTGTTTCACTTTCTTCTTTTCTTTCTCTTTCTACTTTTCTTTCTCTTTCTTCTCTTTACTTTCTTCTTTTCTTTATCTTTCTTCTTTTCTTTCTCTTTCTTCTCTTTACTTTCCTCTTTTCTTTCTTTTTCTTCTTTTCTTTCTCTTTCTTCTCTTTCACTTTTTTCTTTTCTTTTTCTTTTCTTCTCTTTCACTTTTCTTTTTCTTTCACTGTCTTCTTTTTCTCTTTCTACTTTTCTTTTTCTTTCTTCTCTTTCTTCTTTTTTCTTTTCTTTTCTTTTTCTTCTTTTTTTTTTCTTCTTTCTTTCTCTTTCTTCTTCTTTCTTTTTTTTTTTTTCTTTTCTTCTTTTCTTTCTCTTTCTTCTCTTTCACTTTCTTCTTTTCTTTTTCTTTCTTCTCTTTCACTTTCTTTTTTCTTTCACTTTCTTCTTTCTCTTTCTTCCCTTTCACTTTCTTCTTTTCTTTCACTTTCTTCTTTTTCTCTTTCTACTTTTCTTTTTCTTTCATCTCTTTCACTTTCTTCTTTTCTTTCACTTTCTTCTTTTCTTTCTCTTTCTTCTCTTTCACTTTCTTCTTTTCTTTCTCTTTCTTCTTTTCTTTCTCTTTCTCTTTTTCTTTCACTTTTTTCTCTCATTTTCTTCTTTTCTTTCTTTTTATTCTTTTCTTTCTCTTTCTTCTCTTTCACTTTTTCTTTTCTTTTTCTTTCTTCTTTTTCACTTTCTTCTTTTGTTTCACTTTCTTCTTCTCTTTCTCTTTCTACTTTTCTTTCTCTTTCTTCTCTTTACTTTCTTCTTTTTCTTTCTTCTTTTTCTTTTCTTTTCTTTCTTTTTCCTCTTTTCTTTCTTTTCTTTCTTTCTTTTTTTCTTTCTTTCTCCTTCTTTCTTCCTTTTTCTTTCTTTTTCTTCTTTTCTCTTTCTTCTCTTTTCTCTTTCTTCTTTTCTTTCCTCCTCTTCTTTTCTCTTTCCTACTTTTCTTTTCTTTTCTTCTCTTTCTGTTTTCTTCTTTCTCTTTCTTTTTCTTCTTTTCTTTCTCTTTCTTCTCTTTCTTTTCTTTTTTCTTTTCTTTCTTTTTCTTCTTTTCTTTCTCTTTCTTCTTTTCTTTTTCTTCTTTTTCTTTTCTTTCTTTTCTTTTCACTTTCTTTTTTCTTTTTTTTTCTTCTTTCTCTTTCTTCCTTTCCTTTCTCCTCTTTTCTTTCCTTTCTTCTTTTCTTTTTTTCTTTCATCTCTTTCCTTCTTCTTTTTTCACTTTTCTTCTTTTCTTTTCCATTCTTCTTTTTCTTTCTCTTTCTTCTCTTTCAATCCCTGTCTATTTTCATTCGCTCATACTTCATCTCTCCTTCTTTCCATCCTACTTGCTTCTATCCTTCCTGCATTCCTATTTACTTGCCACTTTCCTTCTGTCCTTTTACTTTCATTCGCTCCTTCCATCTCTCCTTCTTTCCATCCCCTTGCTTCTATCCTTCCTGCATTCCTTATTTTCCTATCTATTTTCCTTTGTCCTTGTCCTTCCTCTCCCTTCTCCATCCTACTTCCATCTCCCTTCTCTTTCTATTTTGCACTTTCTTTCTGTCCTTTCTACTTTCAGTCGCTCCTTCCATCTCTCCTTCTTTCCATCCTACTTTCTTCTATCCTTCCCATCATTCTATTTTTTTTCCATTCCTTCTTGCTTTCATTCTTCCTTCCATCTCTCCTTCTTTCCATCCCCTACTTGCTTCTATCCTTCCTGCATTCTATTTTACTTTCGCTTACCTTCTGTCCTTTCTACTTTCATTCCTCCTTCATCTCTCCTTCTTTCCATCCTGCCTTTTATCCTTCCTGCCCCTTTCCTTCTTTCTGTCCTTTCTACTTTCATTTCGCTCCTTCCATCTCTCTTCTTTCCATCCTACTTGCTTCTATCCTTCCCTACATTCCTATTTTACTTCCCTTTCCTTCTGTCCTTTTCTACATTCCTTGCTCCTTCCATCTCTCCTTCTTTCCATCCCTACTTGCTTCTATCCTTCCTGCGTTCCTATTTTACTTGCCACTTTTTCTGTCCTTTTCTACTTTCATTCGCTCCTTCCATCTCTCTTCTTTTCCTCTTCTTCTATCCTTCCTGCATTTCCTATTTTGCATACCTTCTGTCCTTTCTACTTTCATTTCGCTCCTTCCATCTCTCCTTCTTTCCATCCTTCTTGCTTCTATCCTTCCTGCATTCCTATTTGCCCCTTACACTTTCCTTGTCCTTTCTACTTTTCATTCTCTCTTCCATCTCTCCCTTCTTTCCATCCTACCTTCTATCCTTCCTGCATTCCTATTTTTTACTTGCCACTTCCTTCTGTCCTTTCTACTTTTCATTTCTCCTTCCATCTCTCCTTCTCCATTTTCCATCCTTCTTGCTTCTATCCTTCCTGCATTACCTTCTTTTACTTTTCTACTTTCATTCCGCTCCTTCCTTTCTCCTTTCCATCCTCATTGCTTCTCTCCTTCCTTTCCATTTACTTGCTTCTATCCTTCCTGCATTCGCTCCTTCATCTCTCCTTCTTTCCATCCTACTTCTTCTATCCTTCCTACTTTCCCTTTTATCCCTTCCATCTCTCCTTTCTTTTTCATCCTCCTTCCATCTCTCCTTCCTTCCATCCTACTTTTATCCTGCCTATTTTTCCTTCTGTCCTTTCTACTTTCATTCGCTCCTTCCATCTCTCCCCTTCTTTCCATCCCTACTTGCTTCTATCCTTCCTGCATTCCTATTTTACTTGCCACTTTCCTTCTGTCCTTTCTACTTTCATTCGCTCCTTCCATCTCTCCTTCTTTTACATCCTACTTGCTTCTATCCTTCCTGCATTCCTATTTTACTTGCCACTTTCCTTCTGTCCTTTCTACTTTCATTCACTCCTTCCATCTCTCCTTCTTTACATCCTACTTGCTTCTATGCTTCCTGCATTCCTATTTTACTTTTCCTTTCTCTGTCCTTTTGCTTTTCATTCTCTCCTTCCATCTCTCCTTCTTTCCATCCCTACTGGCTTCTATCCTTCCTGCATTCCTATTTTACTTGCCATTTCCTTCTGTCCTTTCTACTTTCATTCGCTCCTTCCATCTCCCTTCTTTCCATCCTTTCTTCCTTCCTGCATTCCTATTTTGCTTCGCCTTTCCTTCATGTCCTTTCTCTTTCATTCTCCTTCCATCTCTCCTTCTTTCCATCCCTACTTGCTTCTATCCTTCCTGCATTCCTATTTTACTTGCCACTTTCCTTCTGTCCTTTCTACTTTCATTCGCTCCTTCCATCTCTCCTTCTTTCCATCCTACTTGCTTCTATCCTTCCTGCATTCCTATTTTACTTGCCACTTTCCTTCTGTCCTTTCTACTTTCATTCAACCTTCCATCTCTCCTTCTTTCCATCCTGCTTGCTTCTATCCTTCCTGCATTCCTATTTTGCTTTACTTCCTTCTGTCCTTTCTAATTTCCTTCTGTCCTTTCTACTTTCATTCCCTGCTCCTTCCATCTCTCCTTCTTTCCATCCTACTCTTTCTTTCCATCCTTCCTGCATTCCTATTTTACTTGTCACTTTCCTTCTGTCCTTTCTACTTTCATTCGCTCCTTCCATCTCTCTTCTTTCCATCCTACTTCTTCTATCCTTCCTGCATTCCTATTTTACTTGCCAATTTCCTTCTGTCCTTTCTACTTTCATTCATCCTTCCATCTCTCCTTCTTTCCATTCCCTTCCTGCATTCCTATTTTACTTTTTTTCCTTCCTATTTTTCATTCTCTTCCATCTCTCCTTCTTCCATCTGCCCTTCTATCCTTCCTGCATTCCTATTTTACTTGCCCTTTCCTTCTGTCCTTTCTACTTTCATTCGCTCCTTCTCTCCTTCTTTTTCCATCCTTTACTTGCTTCTATCCTTCCTGCATTCCTATTTTACTTGCCACTTTCCTTCTGTCCTTTCTACTTTCATTCTCTTTCCATCTCTCCTTCTTTCCATCCTACTTCTTCTTTCCATCCTTCCTTTACTTCTATCCTTCCTTTGCATTCCTCTTTTCTTTCCACTTACTATCCTGCATTTCCTTCTGTCCTTTCTACTTTCATTCGCTCCTTCCATCCATCTCCTTCTTTCCATCCTATTTTTACTTGCTTCCTTCTGTCCTTCCTGCATTCCTTATTTTGCCTATCCTTCCTTCCTCCCCTTCTGTCCTTTCTACTTTCATTCGCTCCTTCCATCTCCTTCTTTCCATCCTGCTTGCTTCTATCCTTCCTGCATTCCTATTTTACCCTTACACTTTCCTTCTGTCCTTTCTACTTTCATTCTCCTTCATCTCTCCTTCTTTCCATCCCTACTTGCTATCCTTCCTGCATTCCTATTTTTACTTGCCACTTCCTTCTGTCCCTTTCTACTTTCATTCAACCTTCCATCTCTCCTTCTTTCCATCCTTTCCTTCTATCCTTCCTGCATTCCTATTTTACCCTGCTCCTTCTTTCCTTTCTACTTTCATTCTATCCTTCCATCTTTCCTTCTTTCCATCCCACTTTCATTCCTATCCTTCCTGCATTCCTTCATTTTACTTGCCTACTTTCCTTCTGTCCTTTCTACTTTCATTTCCTTTCTACTTTCTTCCATCTCTCCTTCTTTCCATCCTCTTGCTTCTATCCTTCCTGCATTCCTATTTTACTTGCCACTTTTTTTCTGTCCTTTCTACTTTCATTCCTCCTTCCATCTCTCCTTCTTTCCATCCTACTTGCTTCTATCCTTCCCTGCATTCCTATTTTACTTGCCACTTTCCTTCTGTCCTTTCTACTATCATTCGCTCCTTCCATCTCTCCTTCTTTCCATCCCCTTGCTTCTATCCTTCCTGCATTCTATTTTACTTGCCACTTTCCTTCTGTCCTTTCTACTTTCATTCCGCTCCTTCCATCTCTCCTTCTTTCCATCCTCTTGCTTCTATCCTTCCTGCATTCCTATTTTACTTGCCACTTTCCTTCTGTCCTTTCATTCATTCCTTCCTTCCATCCTTCTTCTTTCCATCCTACTGGCTTCTATCCTTCCTGCATTCCTATTTTACTTGCCACTTTCCTTCTGTCCTTTTCTACTTTCATTCGCTCCTTCCATCTCTCCTTCTTATCCTACTGCTTCTATCCTTCCTGCATTCCTATTTTTGCCCTTACTTTCCTTCTGTCCTTTCTACTTTCATTCCCTCCTTCCATCTCTCCTTCTTTCCATCCTACTTGCTTCTATCCTTCCTGCATTCCTATTTTACTTGCCACTTTCCTTCTGTCCTTTCTACTTTCATTCGCTCCTTCCATCTCTCCTTCTTTCCATCTTACTTGCTTCTATCCTTCCTGCATTCCTATTTTACCTGTCCTTTCTTCTGTCCTTTCTTCTTTCATTTCGCTCCTTCCATCTCCTTCTTTCCATCCCCTGCCTTCTATCACTTCCTGCATTCCTATTTTACCATAACTTTCCTTCTGTCCTTTCTACTTTCATTCACTCCTTCCATATCTCCTTCTTTCCATCCTACTTGCTTCTATCCTTCCTGCATTCCTATTTTACTTGCTTTCCTTCTGTCCCTTTCTACTTTTTCTGCCTTTCTCCTTCTTTCCATCCCTTTCCTTTACATCCTTTTATTCCCCATTTTCCTTGCTCCTTTCTCCTTTCATTCGCTCCTTCCATCTCTCCTTCTTTCCATCCCACTTGCTTCCTATCCTTCCTGCATTCTACTTTACTTGCCACTTTCCTTCTGTCCTTTCTACTTTCATTCCTCCCCTTCATCTCTCCTTCTTTCCATCCCACTTGCTTCTATCCTTCCTGCATTCCTATTTTATTTACCGCTTTCTTCTGTCCTTTCTGCTTTCATTCGCTCTTCCATCTCTCCTTCTTTCCATCCCTACTTGCTTCTATCCTTCACCTTCATTTCTATTTTACTTGCTTTCCTTCTGTCCTTTCTACTTTCATTCGCTCCTTCCATCTCTCCTTCTTTTATCCTACTTGCTTCTATCCTTCCTGCATTCTTATTTTGCTTGCCACTTTCCTTCGTCCTTTCTACTTTCATTCACTCCTTCCATCTCTCCTTCTTTCCATCCTGCTTCTATCATTTTGCATTCCTATTTTTACTTGCCACTTTCCTTCTGTCCTTTCTACTTTCATTCCTCCTTCCATCTTTCCTTCTTTCCATCCTACTGGCTTCTATCCTTCCTGCATTCCCTTTTACTTGCCTTTTCCTTCTGTCCTTTCTACTTTCATTCCCCTTCCATATCCTTCTTTCCATCCTACTTGCTTCTATCCTTCCTGCATTCCTCTTTTACTTGCCACTTTCCTTCAGTCCTTTCTACTTTCATTCGCTCCTTCCATCTCTCCTTCTTTCCATCCTACTAGCTTCTATCCTTCCTGCATTCTACTTTACTTGCCTTACTTTCCTTCTGTCCTTTTCTTTCATTCGCTCCTTCCATCTCTCCTTCTTTCCATCCTACTTTGCTTCTATCCTTCTGCATTCCTATTTTACTTGCCACTTTCCTTCTGTCGTTTCTACTTTCATTCGCTCCTTCCATCTCTCCTTCTTTACATCCTACTTGCTTCTATTCTTCCTGCATTCCTATTTTACCCGCAAATTTCCTTCTGTCCTTTCTACTTTCATTTGCTCCTTCCATCTCTCCTTCTTTCCATCCTCTTGCTTCTATCCTTCCTGCATTCCTATTTTACTTTTTTCCTTCATCCTTTCCTTTCATTCAACCTTCCATCTCTCCTTCTTTACATCCTACTTGCTTCTATGCTTCTCATTCCTATTTTACTAAATTTCCTTCTGTCCTTTCTACTCATTCGCTCCTTACATCTTTCCTTCTTTTCCATCCCTGCCTTCTATCCTTCCTGCATTCCTATTTCCTTGCACTTTCCTTCTGTCCTTTCTACTTTCATTCCCTCCTTCCATCTCTCCTTCTTTCCATCCCTGCCTTCTATCCTTCCTGCATTCCTATTTTGCTTGCCACTTTCCTTCTGTCCTTTTCTACTTTCATTCACTCCTTCATCGCTCCTTCTTTCCATCCTACTGGCTTCTATCCTTCCTGCATTCCTATTTTTGCTGCCACTTTCCTTCTGTCCTTTCTACTTTCATTCCTCCTTCCATCTCTCCTTCTTTTCCATCCTACTTGGCCTATCCTTTCTGCATTCTTATTTTGCCCCTTTTCTTTTTTGTCCTTTCTACTTTCGTTCTATCGTTTCTACTTTAATTCTCTATTTCCTACTTTCCTTCTTTCCTGCTTGCCTTCCTACTTTCAATCTCTCCTTGCTGCTTTTCTTCTTTCCATTTTGCTTTCCTTCATTTATTCCTAGTTTCTTTTCCACTTTCATTCTATCATTCCTTCTCTCCTTCTTTCTTTCTTACCTTCCTCCTGTCTTTTCTTCTTTCATCTTTCCTTGTTTTATTCCTACTTCACTTCTTTTCTTCCTACTTTCCTTTCTACTTTTCTTTCTACTTTCCAACTTTCTTCCTACTTTCGTTTTTTCCTTTCTTCTTCCTTTCTATCATTCCTTCTTCTCTTCTTTCTTTCCTCGTTTTCTTCCTTTAAACCAGCTTTCCTTCTTTCCGTCCTGCTTTCCTTCAGACCATGCTACTTTCCTACTTTTCTTCCTACTTTCCTTCTGTCCTTCCCTTATTCCTTCTTTCCTTTCTTTTTTCCTTCCCACTTTCCTTTCTTCTTTCCTTATATCCTTCATACTTCTCTTCTCCCCTTTCTACTTTTCTTTCTATTTTCATTCTTCCTTTTCTAGTTTTCTTGTGTCCTTCTTACTTTACTCCTGTCCTTCCTTCCTTCCTTCCTTCTGACTTTCTTACCTTTCTACTTTCCTTCCTACTTTCAAGTTTTATGTTGTGTTTTTTTTTTGTTTTTTTTTTTGTTTACAATTCCTCTACTTTCTTTTTAAGAATATTCTTCTGTATCTCAAACATTTTATTCTCGACTACCGATTTCTTTTCCTCCTCCTCTGTCATCTTCTTCTTAATATTATTATTGATTCACTGTTGCTTATTATTTCTTTTTTCTGTTATTTCAGCCTGCTTCTTTTTCATCTACGACTTCTTTCTTTTTATTCTTTTCCTTTTTTCTTTTTGTTTTCTTTTTCTTTCTTTCTTTTTTTTTTCGCTTTCTTCATTCGCTTCTTGCACTTGCCTTCCTTATCGCTTTTCTTTTTCTAAATTCTCCTTTTTTGTTTGGCTTTCCCGTCTTTCTTCTTTTTCTTCTTCGCCTTCTTTTTTCTGTCTTTTCTTTTTTCTAGATTTCAATTGTTTTTCATTTTTTTCACATATACTTCACATTTTTTCTTCTTTTCCTTCTATTGTTTTGTTTTACTTCTTCTTCTTCTTCTTCTTCTTCTTCTTCTTCCTATTTAATTTCTTTTCCTTTTACTTCTTTTCTTCCTTCTTTTATTGTTATTCATTTTGTTCTTCGATAACCTAAGATACATTTCTTTCTTTCTCTCTTTATCTTCTTGTATTCTTATGTCATTTTTTCTTTCTTCTCCTTTTCTTCATCCTATTAATTAAATTTTATTCAAATCTTTAGTTAATCAATTACTTCAAGCAAGTTTTCATCGAAATTCTGATTTCATTTTTCTCTCTCTCACTCTCTCTCTCCTCTTCTCTCCCCCTCTCTCTCTCCCCCTCTCTCTCTCCGTCTCTCTCTCTCCATCCCCCCCTCTCTCTCTCAGTCTAACGCACTTACTTCAGAGCGTCTTGGCTACTAGCGAGTTGTGCTACCAAATTGAAGATTCATGAATACCACGTTAATGTCAACTTGCAAAAACGATTTTCCACTATTCTATTTAACTCTCGTTTTATCTGTATCAGTTAACATCTTGCTAGTAGATATGTACAGATTGAAATAGATAGATAGATAGATAGATAGATAGATAGATAGATCTAGCTAGCTAGCTAGCTATCAGCAATCTATTTGAATGTACGTATTAACCATTTATATTTCGTTACAAGTTAAACAATTCATGTCCACGTTTATGAAATGTTTAAGCTAACGAACTAGTTCATCCGTATGCTCAAGCTAAGATAGATAGATAGATATGAACAGACTGAAATAGATAGATAGATAGATAGATAGATAGATAGATAGATAGATAGATAATGAACAAACTGAAATATATAGATAGATAGATATGAACAGACTGAAATAGATAGATAGATAGATAGATAGATAGATAGATAGATAGATAGATAATGAACAAACTGAAATAGATAGATAGATAGATAGATAGATAGATAGATAGATATGATAGATAATGAATAATGAACAAACTGAAATAGATAGATAGATAGATGAATGAATAATGAACAAACTGAAATAGATAGATAGATAGATAGATAGATAGATGAACAGACTGAAATAGATAGATAGATAGATAGATAGATAGATATGATATGATAGATGAATAGATAGATAATGAACAAACTGAAATAGATAGATAGATAGATAGATATGAACAGACTGAAATAGATAGATAGATAGATGAATGAATGAATAATGAACAAACTGAAATAGATGAATGATAGATAGAAAGATAGATAGATAGATATGAACAGACTGATATAGATGGATAGATAGATAGATAGATAATGAACAAACTGAAATAGATAGATAGATAGATAGATAGATAGATAGATAGATAGATAATATAACAGACTGAAAATATATAGATGAATGATAGATAGATGAATAGATAGATAGATAGATAATAGAAAATCAAATGTTCGAAAATAAACAAATAACATTTGTAAAAATACAAAAGTGTTTGTAAGTTGAAAAATAAGGGAAAAGCAAAGAAGTATAAGATAAGGAGGAGGAGGAGGAGGAGGAGGAGGAGGAGGAAAGTAAAATACATAACAAATCTTAACGACTGAAAACAAAAAGATCTGCACGTAAAATGGCGTAGGGGTCTCCCCAAAGACAGTGCCAGGATTTATTTTCAATCAGTACTTTACTGCGGGTAAAAGGTTGGACGGAAGAGTTCTTGCAAAAATAGCAAGAGACGCTCGACTTTTATAAGGTGCAAAGATAAAACACCGAATTTGGTCGGTTTTATGCCTACACCTAAAACCCTTTCGCCATTTTGTCTCCACATGTTTGGAGTGTATAAAATGAGCAAAAAGTAAATGTATTTTTCATCCCTTCTACATACGTTTAATAAGGCACGAAACTCTCTCTCTCTTCTTGCTTTCTCTCTCTCTCTCTCTGTGTATATATATATATATATATATATATATATATATATATATATATATATATTTATAAGAGGTGCAGCTTTATATTTTATATCATAAAAGAAACAATTTATACAAAATTAAATAGCTATTAATGTGATTAATGGCGAAATCTTTAACAGAACTTAATGACATTACCTTACTATCAATTCCTTGAATAATAAGATCCTTATATCCGAGTTGTTGTTAGATGGAAGAC